AGCAAATGTACAACGTTTCGACAATGGTTTTTTCATTGTTATGACAAAACCTTGGCCGAACCTTGTACATTTGCTGATATGTTAAGCTTATATTAAAGTTTTCTTCATTACCCATTCAAGCCGTCTCCAGCCATTATTAGACAACGTTCTCTGCTTTAAATGATGTCACACTCATGAAAGTCTAATAAAACCAAAATAGCCTGTGTTCTTTCATATAACTTGAACCTAAAGAGATTGAGATATCTTTTGATATAACTTTATTAACAGTTATCAATATAGTTTCGTGCTTGGGGTAACAATGATAGGATGCTCTTAGACTGATTAAGAAGATAAACATCCAAAACTCGATATAGAACTTAAGGTACGTTTTCATTGCAGCGTTTGAACTTTAGACCTTGTTGACGACTTTCAGTGGAACTTTCATGTGTCCTTTAGACCCATGAAATAAGATTTAACTCAATTTTCTACCACTCTGTGTTGTTCTAGATATGACTGACACTTTTTCTTGTGACTTTTATCATAATTTTGAAAAATGTTTACAATCGAGATTTGTGATAATCTGGGTGAAATGTTCCATAGTACGAATATAAATCACAATAATATATGCTACAAACATAAATTAAACGGAATATACCTCGAAACATATTCAAAGTATCCGGTATTACACCTTAAGTGTATTAAGCTGTGATCCCTATCTTCGAAGATACGAATACAACCTTTACTAAGATGTATTAAATATTAGAAAGAATTACGTTTTTAAAATTCACACAAGTTTTCATCGGTTGCATATAGTAAAATATTTTATTCACAACGTTTCACCAGATTTAACTGGCACCATCAGATTGGACACGAGAACTGAGTAACAGAATTTAATTGAAAAAAGAATCACGTGAGAATCTATAACAATAGTAATCTACAAGCGTACGACTAAGTAACTGCAAACAATAAATTAATGTTTTATTTAGGCCTGAGTCTGTTGAAACGTTGTGAATAAAATAGATAAAAGTTTTACTGTGTACAACCGATAAAAACGTATCTGAAGTTTACTAAGATGTATTTCTGTGTATGGTTTGCTGCAGATACACATCAAGAAATATCTAAAATTTCAAGTTCCATGAACACAAAGTTGTATCCACGTGTATTAGTATGCTTTCATGGTATCCTAGTGTGATTTCACGTTGAGTGTTTGTTTATCCGCGAACACAGTTTTGGGGCTAAGAGGACTGT